AGCTAAACATCACCGTTAGGCTCTAATGATTATGTGTACCAAGTTTCATCAAGCTACGTTCAGTATTTTGCGAGATATTCCACGCTCACTGAATTTGGAATCACGGCCGCGAGACCGGCCGTGAGAGAGGCCGCGTTTTTGTCCGAGACGGATGTTTGAGGGGAAAGAGACGTCGTAAATTACTCGACTGTCAGTTCACAACAGGTGGCATGGTAAAGGCGAAGTCAATGAGGGGCGAAGAATAATACTGGGCCAGTGGTCGGCCTATCCAATTAGTTATAGCCGACCGTTGGCCATTCCTCGGCCACCTGAAAGCGACCAGTTCCCGCGAAGTTCCCGTCTGGCTAGGATATCATATTACAAAGAGTACAAGCTCGAGGGTAGCGACTGGCCGAGCTTTGGGCAGATCAAGGATTTTACACGACGGTCGCGAAAACCTCCCTCTCAGACTTCGCTGCATTTTGACTACAAGCCTTAACACTCCGAGATCTCGAACTAGTTGCTTCTCCTTAATTTCTGCGCCATCTGATGCTAAGTAGCGATGTGGCATCCCGATCTCTGTGCGGACTCTGTATCTCATTACTTCAAACTTGGTGCCGTTGAACTTCATATTGTTAACTAGGGCCCAATCGTAGATTGACGATAGGTCATCCTGCAACCTCTCGCAGTCTAGGTCATCTGTGATCTTCATCAGCACTCTTGTATCGTCCGCAAATGACGATGTAGATGCGTGGGTGAGTTCTGAGTCTACATCGGCAATGTGGATGAGGAAGAGGATCGGTGCCAGCACTGAGTCCTGCGGAACTCCGCTTTTCACCTTCGCTTCCCTCGATTTCGAGTTTCCAATTGCGACAGCTTGTACTCTATCTGTAAGGAAGTTGTGGATCCACCTTAACAGGCTTCCTCCTACCCCAAACAGCCTCAGCTTTCTAAAGAGCACCCCATGGTCAACTTTGTCAAATGCTTTAGCAAAGTCTAGGTATACCACGTCCATGCCAGCTCCCTCCTCCAGCTGGGCCACCAGACGGTGATGGTGCTCCAGTAACTGCGACAAACAGGAACGATTACGCCGGAAACCATGTTGTCCGTTATTGTACAGGTCAGCCTCTTCCATATACCGGACAAGTCTCCTGACCACTACCTTCTCGAAAACCTTGATCACATGTGAGGTCAAGGTCACAGGTCTGTAATTTTGGGGTCTGTCCCTCGGACCTCCTTTGTGGATTGGCGTTATCAGTCCCACTTTGAGACCCCAGGGACCACACTCATACCAACACCAAAGGTGTGTGGTGTGGTCCAGGCCCTCATACCACACTCATACCATCACCACATCTAGATGTGTATAAGAGACAGCAATATAGTTGTATTGAATTAAGTGACGCTTTAATGAGAACAATATAGTTGTATTGAATTAAGTGACGCTTTAATGAGAACAACTTGCTGTTGAAGAGTTCATTTGTGAAGGCTGGAGGCCAGGGAAGCGCCGAGCTGTTATATCAAACTAACGTTAATTCAATCCACGCAACTTTTAACCAACATTCGCGAACAATTGGGACATCTGAACACATTAAATAATTTGCTGTCCATGTATTTTCAATTCAAGATTTAAATAATATGTCTCATAATGTCACAGGAGTTCAATTATTTCCATTGACCTGGCACGGGGCAGCGCCCCTCTTATCTTATCGCAGCCCTGGAGATAACGGCGCGGGAGGGGGGGCGGAGGGGCGGCTTTTTAGTTCAGCTCACTGACATAACAAATTGCAGGTGTATTATATTGGCGTTTTTATATTGGTGTGATTATAATATTTGCACCACGCATAATTCTATCATCGAAGGTTCAGGTTCTGTTTCAATGTTGGTTGCAATTTGTGTTCATTTTCCTCCATTAAATGTATAGTTTGAATGGCCAAACCAGGCTCGGTTTGCTCTTTGTTCACCGCAATGAAACTGAAGACCGAGAAGACCAAGCGCGAACTGAACCTTCCGTAGCTCATATAGTTCACAATTAGTGAGTACAGCTCGTAATATAGTAACCACCTCAGGCCATGCAGGATCATGGAGGTCTGCCTCTGAAGCTTGTGTCGTCGCAAGTTCTGTTGTAGCCGCGCCTCTTGCCTCACTAATTTTTGCACCGCGATTTTCCTTGTCATTTTTTGCTATCATTCAAACAGTTATTTCTTATTTTGTTGTGTTAAATTTGAATTCAATATTTCATTAGTGTTTTCTCTTTCAATTTTACTAGCATTTTCGCTTAGAGAAGAAGTCTGTTCATCTTGATCATCCGATACTCGTCGCACTCATTCTGTTGGTCGTGAAGCACTTTGCACGTTACTGTTGGTGACTTTTGCGAATAGTTATATTGTGACGTGTAAATACGTGTGTGATCTTTGTGAATTGCAATTTTTTTAATTAACTAGGGTTACGTATTATATTGCCACATCTTGTCAAGTTAATATTTTTGTTTACAGAATTATATTACTTCACTACCACGAACAACAGATTCAGAGCGTGACATCCGCTGGGTTTGTTTTGGGTTCATTATTTTGTTCTTCCACAAATTCCTCATTTTGCTTCAAGTTGCATTTCAATCATCCACCAGTGCCTTCGTTACCAATAAAAGTGTCGGCAATACTAAAGTTCACTTCCCTGCACGGTCAAAGTTTGGTTGTCTGGCTGGCGCTGACGTAAGAGCGTTCGGAAGTCACCGTCGCGCTCACTGTGGTAAATTCGTGTTTTTACTTGAATTGATAGCAGTATAATAGTTCATTTAATATGCGATGGTCTAACAAATTGGAAATTTTAAGAAATAAATTTAATCCAGATCAAACTCTAGTATCTCTAGATGGTCATTTCTCTCAATGTTCTCACACAAATGACAAACATCGCACAGTACAAATTAATAACAATAACTTGTTTGAACTAATTCTTCTCACCAATATCGCATCTTTGTTAATTTAATTTTCATTTTATTTAAAATTTCTTCCCTATTTATTTCCTGCTAATTTCATAGAAGCTCTGGTCACCGTCAACGCCATTGCGTCTCCTCTTCTCTCAACTCGAGGTTTCCAATAAAAACTTTGTAATACAAGTTAGAATAAATCTTTTATGTTCGAATAACAGCAAAGTTGCCCGAGACTTAATAAAGTTATTACTTAATAAAGTAATAACTTAAAGTTTTTATCTTGTAAAACTTTGTTTTACAAGATAAAAATAAATTTGTCATCTTCGAATAACAAAATTTCCCGAGACTATGGCGACTCTGAGACTCGCCTTCTAAAGCTTGCGACGAGGCGTGAATGAAACGCGTGTGGGTAATTCAATCAAACTTTTATTAGTATAATCAATTCCATGCAAAAGAAAACGCAGTAAAATTAATCCCACACAATACAAACTGTCTAGTTATTGACATTTGTAAGAATGTCGTCTTGAGTTCACTCACAATACGCGCAGTCTTGACTTTAATGCAAGTCTCGTAGAATGTAACTTGTGGCGAGAAACGCTCTTATAACTACTGGAATAAAAACATAACGCTAATAAATGAATGTTACAAGACGTGAGCAACAAGAGGCTCACTCCGCTCTTATAACTACTGCAATAAAAACATAACGCTAATAAATGAATGTTGCAAGACATCAAGATAGAAATCCGAATCAGTAAATCAAGACCAAATAATGATAAGTATTACATATAAATCCACACATTTTATACCAAAGGGAACATTTAATTCGTAATGAACATTATGAATACCAAAAGAAGTATACATGTATTTTCTGTAAAAAAAAATTTCAGAAATGTTTACAAGTTAGGTCTAGTTTCTCAATGCACTTATAGCTTCGTTTTGCGCCTAAATAACACTCTCATCAGCATTAAACACATCAAGGATAGTATGAAGATGAGACACATTGAAATCCTTGCTGATCTTAATATCACTAGGGACATCATTTACGCTACGGAGCGAACATGCAGAAGTTGTGAGCCAGCCTCGCGCTCCCTGAAAATCTTCAACTTGTTCACATGGTAAGTTCGTTCAGAATCATTAACTCTAATGACATAATCAGCCTTGTAAATCCGTCTTACTACTTCAAAAACCCCTTACGTGCTGCCAACATTGCAGGCTCTAGTACGAAGCTATAACAAAACCATTTCTCCAAAATTAAACTTTCTAGCGACACTTTAATCAATGGTATCTCACAAAGACGACTACATGCAAATTTCAACCATGAGGAAGATGAAATGCGGAACAGCTGAATGTTCTAACAACCAGACCCAAACAATGTGCCTTATATATTACTCTATACTTTATTTTCTGAACTCTCAAGTGTTCAGCAGAAATGGAGTCATGTTCTAATTTCATTAGTTTCTTCCTCATTTCTAAAGGCAACACGAATTGTTCAAGTATATTAAACGCAAACGTATTATAACATGCCTGTCTAATCAATACATCTTATCTAATGAAAATGTTGGCATGTTTGTTGAGTTGGCATCTACATGTTTGACAGACTTAAACAATTTTTTGATCGTCTCTGCAAGGCATAATCTTATGTATTTATTGTTGTTAAATCAGAGTTAGATTCAAAACGTTTCTAACTCTTATTTTGAACCGCTCATGGATTCTGAACAGTTTAGTTGGTCGTACATGCATATGCTGCACAAGCAATATTTTTATTGAAAACTTCAAATAATAGTTCAGAATTGCAGCAGCAACTGTTATCCCTTGGAAAATACACAGTCCAAATTGACCCGAGGTTTAAGAGCACTTATTGCACGGTTATCTGCTAATTAAGACATAGATTCTTGCCAGTCATTTGGTTTGCTGGCACAGGTGGCTACCTCACAAGGACAGTGCAGGTAGCATTCGTATCTCGCAACATTTTGACTTCTTTCCACTTACAAAAACCAAAAGTTACGGCAACGATTGATCTACCCTAATCTTCCAATTGCACTTCACCAAAGAATTAATTCAAGAATGACGATTGACAGATTAATTAGTTTTGGAAATGAAGTTTGCACTTGAATCAGCTCTACCCGCAGCAAATCTAGATCAACAAAACTAAGCTATAGGCCCATGGTTTATTCCATCGCAAACAAATATTAGGCTTGCTTTGATCTGCAGGCAAATGAGAAGGACTGACAAGAGCATTGCTAGTTTTAATGCTACAGTTATGAGAACTGTGATCTTATTTCCACAATGAAAGCAAGTAGGTTCTTTGTCCGGCGCAAAGTTTGAAGGAAATTACACTTTGTTTTTAACTTCCGCTCTATGTAACATGTAATACCTGGCAGTTGTCAGCCAGTTTCGCAACTTTATCTAACGGCATGTAATAAATATCCTTCTATCTCATATATTACGAAAGATTTATAACTCCATAATTAGCTAATTGTTGTTTGCGATTCAACTCCACAAGGTATTCGAAAGATTTTCCCAGCTAGATCACAATAATTTTCATTGCGTACGGGCGAAAAATTCCTATGCCTGCGTCGAAGAGTGAAATTTCCTCTGATAATTAATAGCACACCGTAAACCTAACTGCAACAATCTGTTTCAAATTAACACTGTCGGATATTCCGCTAAACGTAATCTAATTCATAGAGGAACATACCCTGGAGTTGGCAAATCCATTTTGAAGTGCGGACATGGCAAGGAATGAGACCAGCAGTTGGCATCTCACACCTTTTTTTCTCTCTCTCTTTCCTCACTTATTATCAGTTCGTTCTGACATATAACAGTCAAGGTCTTGTCCTCGACAAGACCTTGACTGTTGACATGACAAGTCAAGACTGTTGACATGACAAGTCAAGACTGTTGACATGACAAGTCAAGACTGTTGACATGACAAGTCAAGACTGTTATCAAACTGATGCTGCCGCGGTCACGTCACAGTCGCGACATGGTCGGGAAAAAAGTTGCCTCATGCGATGCGCACATGACTCCTGCGATCAAGAATACACGCGCACCTCTTATTATCACGCGCATGTATCAGTGATACGCGCAGACACGCGCTGTCAGATTTTCGACTTGCATCCATTCCCGTGGATAGCCTTGAGCCAATTGTCCTGAAGTGCACAAACTTCCTTGATTATCTGGTAATAATGCTTGCAAAAATGTAGTCTGACTCATAGCGAGACTCAAATTTCAATGAGTTGGTCATGGCTGGTGTGCAGTGCCTGGTTATAAAAGACAAAGTTTGGAAATATATCCTGCAATCTCATTGATATACAAACTGCATACAAGATTCAATGCCTTAGTCATTTTACATTCGTGTGTCAAGTATTCATGACGCTGGATTGCTACGTATTCGATGGCGTTGGCCCTTGGTGCCGCCGTCACCAACA